GCGCTATTATCCTTTCCGGGGAGTAACGCATTCACCACCACACCATGCGGGTCCTTTGTTTCGCCTGTCTCTCAGCTAGCTCTCAGCTGTCTCTCAAACAAAGGACCCGCATGGTGTGGTGGTGAACGCGTTACTCCCCGGAAAGGATAATAGCGCGTTCGTTCCCCACCATAGACACCTAATGACGACTGTATTGAAGCAAAACAGTTCGGCGGTCGCAATGTTTACTATCATAGAAGCTGAGAGAGTAGTTATTGGAAAGGCTGCTCTTTCATATCCTAAGGAACAGGGCTTGCCGTCACGGCGTCAGAGGCTAATTTTACCAGTGCGGTGCAACGACGCCGTTGCTAACGAAGCAGAGCATGAATGCGTTTACATATTCATTCAGACCCTCGGATTTTTTCTCAAACTCAGGACTTCGGACCCAAACTAACACTGTCGACTACCTTTAAGTGCGCCAGACGGCATTGATCATTACAAGTAGAGCGGATCGTACGAGTTCAGTGAAGGATTTCAAAGGAGATCTATCACATTTCGCTATATCAAGAATAGTCAGAAAATTTTGAAGCACTCTCTGAAATCAGCAACATTTAACACTTAACACGTCTGCGACTTTTTAAAAATGTTTTCCTTCTTGAGTTACGATGAGAAAGAAATCAATGACCCGGTGAGATGTAACGGACGACGTTCGATTCCACATGTCCCAATGTACACGCCTAAGTTAAGAACAAAGTGCGTGTCGTATTCTTCACTATTTCTAAAGTCGAATGAAAACCTTTTCCAAAGAACACCTGAGGACTAGAAAACGAGTAGGATTTATTGGAGCTCCTCCTAACGGTTCACCACCTTATGGCGGCTGGGAGGTGTTTCTAGATGTCGGGCACTGATGTACAACAGGGGATTCATTCTACTGGCAGGGTCTCCCAACCTGAGAGGAAATCCCCGGCGTTACCATCAGGAAGCCTAACTAAGAGCAAACTAATACCAAAATCCACCACCGTTCTGGTATCAAAGTCGCATGGTAGTAAATCTCTCTCTAATTCACAAGGGCTGCGACTGCCTATGGTGGTAAAGAATTGGGACAGACTTTGGCCAGGCTGACCTCGAGATTCCAGCGAACCACAATGGCTTAACCAACAAATCTCCGAAAAATGGAGATTATACTGGCGCCCGCAAAACCAGTGAGGACAGGCTATTCAAGTATCAAGTATTTGTTAGAGCTGATCGAGTGTGTAGTAAACATGATGGTCGATGAAGATGGTGCCGCGTTCCTCAGGCACATGTTGTACTAAGTTATGTGACACATAGATCGAGAAGCCATAGCACTGCAATAATGGAATTCACTGAAATATAATATCGGTATGGAAATGTTGTCCGTAACAAGAAATGTGAGCGCTGCTTAGAACAAAGTTGTTTGTTTCTTCTCGAAACTTTTCATTGATATAATTAAATTTAATGATAAGACGAATGATATGTAATATTTGGCAAACCAGATAGCAATATCGAAGTTCGATCCCTGTTGTAAAATCAATAGCCTTCTCGGAGAAATGGATGATGGTTATCGACTTTCTGTATTTACTACTGATCGTTGAACTATCTCACGGATCTCCCTCATGGATGCCGTTTAGTCGCGAGGCAAAGTAGCGCGTCACCAGTGGACAGAGATTAATCGAGGACCAAAAGCGACCTTTGCTTCCCTCAAACGCGGGTGGATTCAGGGGATGGACTCCATGTTTCTGCTGCGCCAATTTGGCACATACTTTCTGTATTTGCGAGGCGTTTCCATGCATGCGTGCGTGGGTGCGTTCTCGCTTATGCGGAGTGTACTACAAGTCAATCCGGCCAGAAGCCTGCAATCAAATGATAGGGAAGTATAGGAGGTGGTTAGGAGTCGCCCCCAACGAAGAAGCTCCTCGTCTACTCCTGGAGAGGCTGGCGGACTACCCTTCACTATATTTAACTCCAACGTTTAGAGTTGAGCAAGCTATGTGTAGGTATGGAACAATAAACACAGTGAAATATGTGGGCTTCATTCCCCTGACCCCGAAAGTTCCTCCGTTGCGGCAGCGTTGGCTTGAGGTTGCTGGCGTTGAGTAGAACGAGTACAGAGGGGATGCTAAAATCTCAGGACCATTCTAGGCTGTCTAAATCGCAAAGGACTAGGGTGACAATTTGTACTTACAATGCACGCACGCAGGTGAATCAATACCGGTTGTGACAATTTTCGTCGTCTGGGCACCGACATCAAGCTATGACGGAGAATTTGGAGAAGTTCTGCTGAAAAGACCACAGATTCTTCAAGGTCGCTTTGCTGATGAAACCGTTCTAATAACAACAAGAACTAGCCAGGTCGAAGGAATGTTTGCCTATTTTGATAATACTTGTGGAAATATTGAACTGCGACTAAATCTCATAAAAATTATGTTCTTCACGATGAGCGGATTGGTTTCACACACCCCATTCACGCCCAGCCAGAATGAAAGATCCAGCATGATCAACAACTTGGCTCCAGAGTTGAGCAGGAGGAATCGAGTGGCTCGAGAAGCTTTCATTCGCATCGGAGGATGTAGTGAGGAAAACAGAGAACACCCGACTCCGTGCCTATATTTTCGACTTCACAATTCTTCGTTCCTTAGCTTACGCGTCAGAAACCTGGTCGTTACGTAAAGCAAGACTCGTTATTGTCTGGATTCCTCGGAATGTCAAATCCACAGTAGGAAGGCCACCGAACAGATCGTCAAAGTTCTTTATGAAAACGCTAGAAGAATAGGATGGTTAAGGAGTCCAGATAGGACCCGCTGTGCTACTCTTGCACTCGATAAGGGCATATGTGGAGCGGTAACTCCCATCCACTTAAGCCACTCGACGTTTAACCACAGGACCACAAGTAACAGGTGATACGTTGACCCATTACTATGTGTTTCTCTGTCCCAACGGTAATGGTCATAATGGCAAGAAAACGTTTCCAGCCGCTGAAGTTCTAGCCCGGCTGGTTTACGATTGTAGCAAAAATTAAGTTATACAAATATATGTAAATAATGACAAAAGATGACAAATATCAGGGAGCAGCCGAGTACTACCTCTGGCGGCGGTTGTAAGACAGCGAAGCGATTGATGGAAGTCTTGGGATGAAGAATATACGTAAACACGGCTGATTTAAATATCTTATTGAATACCCGGAATGACGAGATAACAGAGTTTCTTTGTGAAAGGAGCTCAGCTAACTTATAACAACATTACTCAGAAGTTGTTAGCTTAATAATCAGATTGTGGGTGTAATAATCCAAGAAGGTATTACTCAAAGGGTCAAAATCTGGTTTAAGTGTCTGTAATGACAAGAATAGATGACGAAGATTTCTTGCATAGGTCCAATAAATGCGTATGTATCACTCTTGACTTGGATGATGCGCTATTTCTCCTTTTAGTCTTATAACAAAAAACATGAAAAATCATTGTGGAGGACATGCATCATAGATGTTGCGAATCACCGGCTTGGTATTACTCTAAAATCGAAACAAGGAACATTCACCATTCCCGAAACTCATTCTGTTAAACTTTCTAGTCGAAATAGTCTTACAGAAGGAATTGTAAGCATTGTTTTTAATCATAATGATGCTAAGTTATTTGCAAAACACCGGACTGCTCGTGTTTGCGGTGTGGGCCGAACACGCTATTAGGCCTTGAGAGAGCTAACGCGTTCACCTCCACACCCATGCGAGTCCTTCGTTTCGCCTGTCTTTCAGCCCTGTTACTAATCTATAGGTGCTATCAGCAATCACCCGTCGACAGAACTTTAATGTGACGGCACTGGCTTTAATGTTTACCGAGCTAAACCAAACAATTTTTTATGCATCGGGTAATTTTCAATAAAGTATGTCGCGATCGACTTACGTTGGAAAACAGCGGAATCGGTACTCATGGATAAATCTGACATGAGCCTGATTCAGTCATAAAGTCGAAAAATCTGTGGTACACAGTTTAAGATTTCATCTGACGAGTCATCGGATGAGTTATCTTTTTAATTCCTTGTTTTTTTCGATGACGACGCAGACCATGACGTTTGCTGAACGGCGAATACTCCGACGTCTAAACTTGTTGTTGCTTAAAAAGGGAACGGAACACAGATGGCATGTGGCCAGCGGAATACCATCACTTTTCGCTCGGCGTGGCATTTGCTCATCGCAAAGCTATATCAGGTATGGTGGATAATAACTTTGCTCCCGCTACATTCCTAGATGCTGCAAGTTTATGGAGTTATTTAAAATAGCCTTCAGCTTTACAGTAAAGAAAAGAGCCGTTTTATAAAACATTCATACTGACTAGTCACATCACAGGTCTCGTTCGGAGTCGATCGCCATGCAGGGCAACACTATGGGTGCATTTCATCCTAATGAAGTCGGTCACCTTGCCGTTTCCAACGAGATACTTAAGTTAATAAGAATGGTCTGCGCTATCGGCATCTAAAATATCTCCTCAATTACGTTATGCTATCTATGATCTCACATCTCATGAATCTGATCTCACTAGAATCGTAATGGGTGTTGACACCATATGAGATCTCATTTATCAACAAGATCTCATTGTAGCTGAAGAAAATCCGAGAGAATAAGCCTGAATGCAGGCTCTATATTTTGGACATGACAGCCAAATGATTTTCTAAAAAAACCTGTGTGTCATGAAAAAAACTGTGAGGCGGATATTGCTGCTCCTGGCAAGGTATCAAATTTGAAATCGTTCGTTAATAAAGAGCATCTCAAATGCTGACGAGCACTATCATGAAGGCGCGATCGGCTTAACTTTAGCTATGAAACCTGTATACCGTTTGTAACCATCGTTCTGTTTTTGCCAAAAAAACCATATTCCTACAAGAGTTCATAGTCGTAGCCAATGAAAGGACAAATAAAGGGCACAGCCGAATAGAAATGCGGCTGTCCTGACTACTGTAGCGTAACAGAACCAAACGGACTTATGGTAGGCAGGTTACGGCCTTTCCATGAGGATTTCGTTAAAGTGAGTTGTGTTTGGTTTCCTTTCTTGGAGAAAAGATTGAAATTATGGTGATGACCAGAGCACTGATCTGGGTTGTCATCTGAACTAAATCGTACCACAGCAGACACTGGGTGAGGGTGACGTACATATACCGTACTCGCATCACATCGTCAAACATTCTTCGCCGAAACTATTCTCTATGACAATGACAGGCGAAACTTATCGTACAGCTGAAGTACCGACAACCAACATTTATTTGATGACCATGCAACATACTCTAAGAAAGCAGTGACTCAAAATCCATAAAGGTTCTGCCCAAGCCACCGACATGGGTCATCTATGAAGCTCTTTAATAGGTCACTGATATGACTATCTACGCAGTTTTCCCAATATTTCACCAACTAAATTCTAGATACAGATTTTTAAGATATTCAGAATGTTTATCGATTACACTTTGCATGAATTCCCTAGCGGATAACTGTTCACGAAGGAATAGGCAACGACTTAAATGAACATAAAATTTGAGGGAAATCATGGAATATTCACGAACACCAATAACACCATGAACATCTTAGAAAGTAAACCACAATATGTGGTGAAGAGTATCATATATTTACAATAGTGCATATCAAAGAGTTATGCCTTTCTGGCTCGACGAGCTCTATTCTTCGCAACGCTACGTTTCTTCTGAACGCGATGTCTCCCTGTGGCCGATTTCACGCCACTTTTGACAGCCCTGGCCTTCTGAAGTTATTTATTTAGTGATTAGAAATAGAACATGATTATTGTCACCCTGGACACAGACACTGCTATGAATTAATCAGAAACGAATTGTAGTTGAACCACCTAAGTTGTACCACGAAAAGCAACACTTACCACCTTTGCTTTCGAGGCCTTCCTGGGCTTTACTAGTTTTCTAGCCATTCCTACGGTCTTCGACAGCTTGTTTTTGACGCTTCTCTTGGCCTTCATTGATGATGGTCTCGCTTTGGTAGCCTTTTTAACGAGTCTAGTACGTGCACTGCGTTTCGTATCAGTTTTTGCCATCTTTCCCAGTTTGAAGCTGCCTGATGCACCATGTCCTTTTGCCTACAGAAAGGAATGCGTTAAAAGGGAAGACTACTTCACTCAGTGCAGCTTTGCATTCATATTACACATAATCATTACAGCGGCTTTCTTAAGAACTCCTATAAAGGTGCCTGCGAGCACATCTCTCATTGTTGCGATACCTACGGCTAACATCGTATGTTCGCACCTGCTCAATGAAGCCATCCTTGAGCGCCTTCCTAAGTGCGACGCAGAGGTGAGAGTTTATCTGAACCAAAATCGTCAGAATAACGGTGACAGAATAAAAGGATTTTACAAATATCACCTTAGGAAGATTTTCGCCGAGTTGGTAATGCTGCGCCAAATATTTAAGAAGTGCCGGTTTGCTCACTCCTTTGCTCGCGTTCAACGCCAGAACTGCGTCCTAGAAATGTTGTACAAACATGACCTTGAAGGAAAATAGAATGCTGATCGACGAAAACAGTATTTGATGTCCACAATCATGTTACTTTACTTCACTTGGACTCCTTACGGAAGCAATGATTATAATGAGATATTTGCAAAACTCTGGACCGCATGTGTGTGCGGTGGGGAACGAACGCGCTATTATCCTTTCCGGGGAGTAACACGTTCACCACCACACTATGTAGGTTCTTCGTTTCACCTGTCTCTCAGCTAGTTCTATCGATCACAGCCATCAACAATCACCCGTCAACGGCATTGATCTGGGGAGCCCAAATCGGCATTAAACCCAGTTAAGCTGAGGCTGTAGCTATAATCACAATCTTAACCTTTTCATTTATTGCCTATTCTTTTTAATGGAAGGGTAGGTTGCGAAATATAATAGAACGATAGAACTAGCTGAGAGATGAGAGAATAGAACGATATAACTAGATGAGGAAAAGATCGACAGAACTAGCTGAGAGACAGGCGAAACGAAGGACCCACATAGTGTGGTGGTGAACGCGTTACTCGCCTGAAAGGACAACAGCGCTTTCGTTCCCCACACCGCAAACACCTGCGGTCCGGAGTTTTGCAAATATCTCAGCACCATTGAGGTTATATTTCGCAGTATACCTTGCCATTAAAAAGAGTAGGCAGTAAATAAAAAGGTTAAGATTGTGATTCATAATGACTTCTTATCACACACCGCACTCATAGTGTTATTCGTAGGACTACGGAACACAATTGGCAACTCGATTTAGGACTACCATCAAATCGCTTACAAATTTTCAGATGAACTCAATGGAAAAGGATTTAGAATCGGTAAAGCGATAAGGTTTTCAAAACGACTGAACAAAAATATAACTTTTTACTCACACTTCAGTTCATCACTAAAAACCAACTATAACTATACTTCATGTTTTGCTTTTTGAAATAAAGGCTGGTTGTAACTTATCGTGCCTAATCTCGAAATACCTTGTTCCCCTTTTATTTTAAAAGGCTAATATAAAATAGGTTCAGCACCCGTTGTGTCCAGGGGGTTCGTGGGCACTGAACTGCGATGTACAGCTGATGTATGTCCCTAATAGTGTCTTCCAATACGAAAAGCAGTTCGACGTTCCATGAACCCCAATTAACAGTAAATTTGATGAAAACACCGAGTTCAGATGCGTTTCCGTGGTTACACTAAATAGTAAAAACAAGAGCACCGCACCAGAAGTGCGATGCTTTTAGTGTCCCTTGGTGCCAATCTAATACACAACGAAGAGAAATAGAGCTTAGTGATATCTGTCCGAGTTATTTCAGGAGTAACCAGACAGTGAGTGAAAGGTGAAAGAAGTATGATACCAAAAGCCAACGGCACTAGGATTCAGATAAGTTAGATCACAATGAGTCTACGTTTAACTGCGTGCCGTGCGTGCTAGGAGTCACACTCAGGAGTCAGTTAGATTCATACCGTCCAAAATACCACTCAGAGCTAAGAAGTCTTGGTGAACTCCTCATCAGCAACAAGCTTTATGGTGCTATCCTATGTATACAACAGGCAGAAAAAACGCTAAGAACCCACTGTGTAGCTATCTCTGGATCACGCTGATTGCAAACATCTATTGCAGAGGAACTAGCGATCTGACGCAAACCGTTACGCAGAAAACATCTTCAGCGATAAAAAAAAAACAACTGCAATGCAAACGGAAGAGGACTGTCGTAAAATAAAATGGTGCACATTATGTGCAGTTCTCTTCAAAAGCACAAAAACCCTTAGTCTGATATGACTGAGAACAAATGTAGTTGAAATATTATCCTGTCGACTGTTGACACAGACAAATGGCATTTGGATCTTGCTGCCAAGCAAAATTAACCTTCAAAAGACCATGAATTGAAAACGTATGGAGTGATCGCGGAAGTTCCTGCAAATATGTATTCGATCTCCCCCATCACAGCAACTGTCTGTATTACTTTAATACTAAGAAAAGTGATGAATTTTAAGAATAACTGCCTCAGTTCATCTACAGGACGGAGTTCCGCCGGACGGGTTAGAATAATTCTATTATTCCCACAATAATTCTCATAATAATTAGAATAATTATTCCGATGGGAGGGGCACATTACGCTTCCATGTGAGTTCTGAACGGTTGGTCTCCACGTGACATACTCAGTGGACTCATTGAAAGCGGTCAGTGTGCAAAGAAGCTATTCTGTGTTCAGTGTAATTGAAATCTTGGTTTAGCGTTTTCTCTGTTTGTTTATGGAGGTATGTGGCCGAATAGATTGCTGTCAACTTGACCTTTCCAGGCTCTGAGGAAGGCGAAATACGCTGAACGCAGAATTACTTGATCAATGCCGAGGTTAATAGAAAGTGGGTCGTGGGATTTATCACTTTTTAGCTTAGTCATGTCTTAGCCTACAAGCTTCCTTGTGTGGAATCTCTGGGCTATTACTAGGATACAAACAGGTTACTTGAAGAAGTTTGGAAAAAATACCTAAGGAATTTTACTAACCTTGATCATTGAAAGGTAAGTGGGATGATGAAGTGGAACTGGATTCTTTCTATTCAGCAAGTTCTTCGATTTCTCGTCGAGTTTTCTGAATACCATCGGCTTCTCACTCGCTTCCATCATTCCTTCCATATGAATCGAATCATGCGCTGCTCTCATCATTCTGTAATGCGTTCTTTTCTCGATGAATAAAAAAAACGCAGTTCTGGATAAGAAATAAGCTAAGGCGGCAATCAATACTATCGAAATGAATAGTCAGATTAGCCTTCATTCACAAAATATTAGCAAATTAGTACATAAACTGACAACACTATCAGAATAAAGGACTTCGGCACTGCTGATACCACATGGCTCGGACTGAGGGTACAATAACCTCTCACGAAGCATTCCTTTGTTAATCAAAAAACCGTCAATGATCCAACTTTTCATGAAATGTTTCCAATAGAAGTGACTTGACATACTGTAGATAAGTTGAAAACAGAGTCGGAAAGTTCATATAGGAAGAATCTTCAGAAAACTATGGTTCCTATCGTCTATTGCCTCTTCTTACACGAGTTCGATAAATCCGAATGCTGGACATCGACCCTTGCAAAGAACATAAGCGTGAATCTTCCTCTTCTATGCTCGATTATTTAAGTAGGAATCGTTCTGGGATGTTCTGTGGAAGGGTTAGAGAGAGTGACAGATGAGTAACGTATGAACAAACAAAAGCAATCAATAACAGCGCAAAGGAATGATGCTTTCACATAAACTCACCCAGTGTCGGCGGACATGTGGTGGACGACGAAATGGTGTTATGCCTTGTAAACAGCTTTCTTATGAGTAAAACGATCGAAATGTTACTTATCAATGAAACGATGGAACTAACGTCAACGGAAGTCTGTCACGATGGTATCTCGTTGAATGAACACGAGATGCTCTGTTGTCAAAGTCGAACTGACAGAAGAACGAAGACGACCACTCACAGAGGACAGTGATGGATGTGACGGAAGTTCGGCGAGAAACTACAACATCGTGAATAGCTCGTAGCATCGCACCGAACACCGATAGAGAAACTATTGCTTCCCTCGTGTCGAGGGCTGCAGCACATGCCATCCAGTGCTGTATCCAAATCTGATCCGCTGGGTGACTACCGTAATCTAGCGGAGCGATGTCCGACTTCACGTCGCTTCCCTTTTTTGGCCTAGGCTACAGGAAAGATGCACGGTTTGCAAATGTGGACGAGACAACATGAACATATGCGATTTACTAGTTACGAGAACATACTCCTTTCACGTTTCTTTACGCGAACAAAATTTTAAAGACATACTGTTAGTAGGTCTAAAGCCAATCGGAATCAACTTCTCGAAGAAAAGCAATCGAAGGACCCAAATGAAAGGAAGTCTGGATATCATGAACATGAATTCGTATTAGAAAGAACTACACAGAATGAATAGAACTTTTTCCCTTTTTTTATTTTCATATTTTTCATTTTTCTCCTTCGCTCAACTTTGATTCACGAGTATTGACATACTACCAAAAAACGTCTCATAGAACCAGAAAATACAATAGCAGCAAAACAAGACGATGAATGTTAAGCCACTATCTATGAGAATGCATCGGGTAGTAGGGATAAAATTGGCGACGAACGAGCGGGGTAGCATGTTCCAGAAGCTGCTTTGCAATGTTCCAGATGATTCTGGGGAATGCCGAGCGCAGCGGCGACGGGAAGAGTCCCAGTCGGTTCACACACGACGTTGCTGTGATGTTGTCCGCACGGGGTCTCGTCACTCCAACAAGGAGTCCAAGACCACGTCGTGTCACGAGACTCCACCGCGTCGCCGTCGATGCGGACCGGATCCTGATGCCATCACGTGGCGGCGAGTTGTTTATAGTTAGGGCCACCGCGCTGCGCCCCCATGGCAGTGTGCCAGCGCTTGCCTCTTGCCGCGAGAACATCCCGATGAGGGCTGACAAACAGTATGGGTGGGAAAGGTAGTAATTTGCGAGAGATCAGGACTGGTAGGAATGTATTCTGGTAGATAACTAGTAAAACTGTGTTTACGCGGCGTAGAATTTCGTGTTATTGAGTAGAGCGCCTTAGGATATATCCGATGTTTAGGAAAGGGTCAAATAAAAAGTTTAAGCACCTTGAAGTGTGCTTAATGCTTAATTGTTAGTTCCGACAGTATTTGCTTAGCTCTGCGACAATCCCACCTTCGCAATACATTTCTCATCAATTTACGGGTGACGAAATCCTACCAAACGTCGTGATAGAGCTATTGGTGGATTTTTCTCTCAATAATTTATGATAAAATAGCTAGAATAATACTGGAACTAGGAAGGAACTAGAAAACAGATTGGTAGCGTTTCTGAAAACACTCGCAATGCCACTGGTTTCTAGAGAACTCCTGAAAGGATTTTTCGACAACTTCACAGTCTAATGACATCTACTTTGCTCGATCAGCTCTAACCAAAATTATTTTGCTACTAAGTCTGTCCAAGTTCTCAGAAAATTGAGCTCTAAAAAACTTTAGGAAACTGAAATTTTCGAAGGATTCAGGAAGGATGTTAGGTTTTCAAAGTTCTTGACGCCAGCGACACAATCGGGACATCGCCCCATCTTAGTCGGTGAAATCCAGCTTGGTCAATCGCTTTGCAGAATTCTACTATGGTAAAGTCAAATAAACTGCCTCTTTAGGGAAATATTCGTACATTCTAGTACTTCTAATTTGGACTACTAAACTTCACTATGGGTTGTGATGTCTGCCTAAGACTGAAAGTCGTAAATTCCGGAAAACGAATGTACTGAAATCAATGCGTATCGTCTGAATCAGTTAGCAAGTTTCTGGAATATCGTTGTACATTTTTCCAATAACATTCATAACATACCGTTGATTTTAAGACTCCAGTGGACAGAGCGAAACACTACGTGTTGTACGTTCCAAGTTGACATTTTGAACATAAAAATAAAGGATAAAGCCCTAGGTGTTGATCAATCCCTGAAGGACGCACCATGTATTCGACCTTAATAAACATCGTTAGAGGTAACTGAAAGCATATCTGGCCTTTACAATGACTCGTGGGGGCCTACCGATGTATCAGACCAGTGTTGCTATCCTCCCAGACAAGCCTGGTATCAATTTGTCAACTCCGGAAGGATGGATGGCTTGGTGAGCCTGGGGCGCCGGGACAGATTCCACGTGTATTTCAGGGCGCCTCCAACCACTGCCAACGCGCACATCTTGAGCATATCGAGGAATACCCAGGCCATACAAACAGGCAAACGGTTAAATCCCAGCTAATGACGTTCAGCTTAATCATTTAGGAAGCTTTCAATAATACGTTCATTTCCTTAAAATAGCCCTTGCTAGTCATTCAGAACTAGTTTGAGCTAGAAGCCATCATCTTGTTTCTTTTGCAAGTTTTCTTCATTCTGAAGGTTTCATCGTATCGTTTAGACTAAATGGCCCGTGAAAAAAAAAGTGTTCATAAGAAATTCAAATGATCTGGAGACATCACAAAACATTTTTTGTACTGTAAATGACAATAGCATGGCAGAACATTATTTATACCCTTGTTTACAGCTTTCTTGTATAAAAAAAAGCATTGTAATGTGTCTATAGAAGTAAAGAGACTGATTTATATCAGCAAAATCGAAAGAGCGGATAGCACAGTTGTAATGATGTCTGTCATCACGAGCATAGTGCTAGTTCGATTCCGCATCGGGTCAACCATGCCCTCCATTCCGCCGAGGTCGGGAAGTTGGTACCGGACTTGTCTGAGAAAAAATCACTCTCTGCAATCCAGTCGGGAACGCTCCAGTGCGGCTATCTTGGGCTCCATCGAGAATTGCTCGACCAGCGTTCTACGACATTCAAGGTGAAATGGAAATCCTCAAGCAGCAACCGAAGCGGCACGTAAAAGTTGGAAGATCTTCGTGGACAATGGATGCGAGGAAACGAATCGAGTGAGACAAGTGCTGGGATCCACACAATAGATGTGAAAACGGATAAAATAAAACAATAAAAAAAATAGAAGAAATTCACATTTTAGATCTTATATGGTATTTCGTACATTTATGACAATACATTTTCGTACTGGTACGTTTTTTATGATTGTTTCAAACAAAGTGATAAGTACCACACAATACTTCCATATAGTTAAGAATGTCGCGCAAATGTCTTACTTTCACAACAATTTTCACAACACGATCTTTCCGAAATAGTGAAAGAACGTTATTAAAATACGGAAGTCGGGAAAAACTCCATGGCTACCAGCAAATGGTGTAGCTGCTGGTTTCCACGAAGTGGTAGAGAGGTCGTTCAGTACTGCGTGGTTCTTGCTCGACCTCGCAGTTAGTCAACCAGACCTTTCTTTCCGAAATCCGAAAATCGGCACAGAATGCTTGAAAAAAACTCTCGGAAATCCAAAAAGGCTGTGGACTACTTGCAGTAATAGCATGGGAACGCTCTAGCACGGCTATCCCAAGATTCCACGGAGAATCTAATCGGCCAAAATTCAGCGACATTCATAAGGAAAAACAAAAATCTTTAAGCAGCAGCGAAATCCGTCAGCGAATCAGAACACCTTAATGGATTATGGGTCTGAGGAAACGAAGTCATTGGAAGATAGTTGAGATCTGCACTATAGTAACTATGCCTACTTGTAATCGTTATACGTCCATTCTCACATATTCTGTGAATTGTCTCTCAACAACCGTTTCAAAGATTTGCTTCACGGCTAGGCTAGAAGGAGATACTGTAACTTCTTTGTATCTCCGCTCTTCTTTGTCCGTTGATTCGGACGCTGAATAAGCCGCCGCCAGCTGCATGCACTTTCAAGAAATCGGTAGTTCCGATGCACTTTCCACGTAACTCTTTGTACAAGAAATTGTACTGGCTGAAAAAGTACAAAACCTCTCTTCGAGCACTATCTCTGATCCCTTCTGTAAAACCCCACCCATTAGAGACAGAATATAAGGACCACCATTAGTCATCAAGACCAGTGCTTATCCTCCAATCCACCAGTGTCTGTCTTCCAAGCTATCAGTGCACCAACTCCAGTGTCCGCCTAGCTTCCTTCAAGTGTACTTGTTCCCATTTCAATCTCGCTCGTATTCACCCAATTTACATATCGTCAAATATCACACATTATTATTATATCATTGTTGTTGCTATAAACTGTTATATCCAAACTCGAGGTTCTTCAAGACAGTTACGGAGAAAAGTCCCACGTAGCGAATTCACACAAAGTCGAGCATTCCACATACAGTTGGCAGACAAAAGTCAAATCCGATCAACTTCCTAATCCACTGGCCAACTAACACATGCACAATATATGATGCCACATCACGTGAAATTTGAGAAACCCTAATTTCTAATTTCTGTTGGAACAAAATGCCAGCGACAATTTACACTTCTTCAAATAAGAAACTAATACTATGCCATGATAGTTAGGAAATGAATCGACCATACTAGCAGTTCAACTGGCAAGAAGTCACGGTATCTAAGAAAATACAATGAATCCTTGGTATCCCCAGCATGGATGCAAAGGTGAGATATTCGTTTTGCAGAGAGACAATGGAAGCTTCTACCATGTTCTTTCACTGGCTTACTGAGCTTATTATTACTTTTTTAAATTGCTGATCCTAGACGAGGTTGATAAAATTGTTTTATTCCGCTAACGTTTTGACAGTAGGGACACGTGTAGCGTAGTGGTCGGTGCCGTCCAGCAACACACATGGGATCGATCCCAGCGCCCCAGGCCTAGCGAGCACTCCATACCTCTAGGGTCGGTATATTGGTACCACACTTGTTTGCGAGGATAGCAGCACCAGCTCGATATATCGATAGGCCACCGCAGATCATTGTAAAAGCCAGATATGTGTTAGATCACCTCCAATGATGCTTAGTGAAGTCAAATGTATGGCGTATCACACACGGATTGATCAACACCGAGAGCTTCATTCTTTTTTTTATTTAGCGTTTCGACGTCTTCTCGGAGCCGATGATCCGAGTCGACGGTCCACGGATGGATCGGATGTCGAGACGACAGCCGAATAAAACTATCCTAAAATCTATCAGTATCGTGTAAGCTTAACTATTTAAACAAATTAATTATTTTGCAACCGAGGTTAAACGGCGGTCGGTTTAAAAATTGTTTTGTTATTCGCTGTGTCCTAGCTAACATAATACCGACTGCTGCAGGGTGGATAATCCGTTGAAAAACAAATTGTTATCAACCGATAGTCATAAATCTAAAGGATAAAACTCTCGGCGTTGATCAATCCCTTAGGGATGCGCCATGCATTCGACTTCATTAAGCAACGTTTGAAGGTGATTGCGTGCATATCTGGCCTCTACAATGACTCGCGGTGGCCTGCCGATGTACCGTGTCAATGCAGCTATTCTCCTAAACAAATCTGGTACCAGTCTGCCAACCCCAGAGGAATGGAGGGCTCGGTGGGTCTAGGGCGCGGGGATCGATCCCATGTGTATTGCTGAGCGGCACCGACCACTGCGCTACACGCGTCCCTATTGTCGAAACGTTTCCCGAATAAAACAATTTTATCAACCTCGAGTAAGCTCAACAATTTAAACAAGTTGATTATTTTACCACAGAAAACTATCTGAGAGACAGACGAAACGAAGGACAGGCATAGTGTAGTGGTGAACGCGTTAGCCTCCAGGAGAGGTAACAGCGCGTTCGTTCCCACCACCACAGACACCTGCGGTCCGGAGTTTTGCAAATATCTCAGCATCAATGTAGTTGTATCACACATAATCATATTGCTATTATTTAACACGTCGTTTTTGGTGGTTTATCCTAGTGGATTGCTGAAAATGGTTTGCGTTTATTATAATACCTGAAATGGAAGAAGTAGAAGGTTATGAAAGAAGGATGACGTCTGACGAGCTCTTGCTGGAATTCAGGAAATTTCAACAGATCTTTCAGTTGACAGCATGGCGACAATATACGGAATAATCAATTACAAGA